AAGAGCACATGTGAATCCATTTGCTACTAAGTCTATTCCCTCTCCTTCTTCATTTCCTTTGTGCTGCCTGGTCAGACAGACATCAAAAAAGGGGAGAAAAAGAAATAAAAACCATATAAAACAATATGCCAGTAAATGGTTTGACTTGAGTCGAACAGGCAGTGCCTGCATAATCACAGCAGATATATATTGGATGGAGAGCAGATGCAGACCCTCCACTACCGAGCCTTGTTTCACCTTAGTCTTCACCTAATTGAGTGAGTCTGAATTTATGAGGGCAAGACCAATGAAAAAAATGGGGGCAAAGAAAAGTCATGGCCCAGGCCTGAGTTGAACAAGCAGTGTCTGCATAATGGATGTCATTTGCATTGATGAACTAACAGCGGCTGCGGACCACCGCTGCTAAGCCTCACAACTGTTGGTTCAAGGTAATGAACAGTATGTGCATACCACCACTAATAAGCCTTATTTCACGTTGCAGTGTAGTCCTCTGAGGGTAATCAATAAATAAAAAGATAGCAAGGAAGAAGAAAGGCTCTGGCCTGAGTTGAACAGGCAACATCTGCATAATGGATGTTGTCAACCGAATGTGTTGGAAATGGGATCATCACGCGCCGCCGATGTACCGCACCATATTTTCTGCATCATTCTTGCCCCTTGTTGCCCCCCTATCCGTCCATTCTGTAGCCTTTATATTCGCTGTATCATCGTATTCTCTAGCATTCTTGTATCCCTCCGATGCTCTTCTACCAGCCTCGAATATATGCTGGATTGCTGAACCTTCTGTGTGATCCGTATTCCAACAGAATGAACTGTAGATGTTGACCCTCCTACCAAGCCTTATTCCACCTTAGTCTGCCCCTAATTGAGTGTGAATTTATTGAGGGCAGCCATTAGAAAAAAAAAGAATCAGAACCGAATGGCTCAGGCCTGAGTCAAACAGGCAATGTCTGTATAAGACCTGTGAACACATTATACAACAGCATAGTAGAGAGTTTGCGGCAGCCACCGGAAGCCACCCGGTGGCTGATCAGGCATGCGGTAACCGGTGGCTGTGGCTGTTCCGGTGGCTGAATGTAATGACGTCGCACCACTCCACCTTTGCTTCTTTACCACGTCAACCAACAGCCCCCTACCCTATGCCTGTTTCAACGCGCGCGAGAACGGCGAAACAAGATGGCGCTGTTCCTGTAGAGCCAGCTGGCAGTCAACAACCCAATAGTGACGACGATTCGGACTCTAACTATAACGAGAATGAGAATGATGCTGAGGGCGTATCAGCCGATGGTGCTGAGAAGGGCGATGACGACGATGTCGACGATGTCGACAGCGCTGAGAACGAAACAGATGATACTCATCGGCAGGCGCACAATGCGCGCTCTCCAGCGTGGAGACCATGGGAAGATTGACTGCTTGTTGGTCAGGTGGACTCGGACCGGCCGTTCGAAAAACCCCGGCGCGCTCGCCGCGAAGCTTGGGATAGCGTTGCGTACGAAATTGGCCGCTCAAACCCTTCTTTCCAGCGCACTGGCGAAGCATGCAAGGCAAGATTCAATGTTTTACGCAAGAAATTCAAGGTGCGTTGTTATATTCTAAACCGGATGGAAAGTCGCTGACCTAGCCATAGGCGGACGAGGCCCGCTCACTCCAAAAGACAGGCACAGATGAAGAAATCGATGATTATATTGAGGTATAGACTCCCCCAGCCTTTGGATGTCGCTCAATTGATTGAATAGACACTTGGCGAGCTTTGCGCCCTCTTCGACGCTGGAATCACGGCGGCGGGAGATAAGTCTCAAAATAAGGCAGAGATGGAAGCGCGTGTCGGTCTAGAGTTACGCGAGGCTTCCATGAAAGGTCTTGTCCAGCGTGGCAAGCTAGTGGACATTGCCTCGCTGGCCGGGTCTTCTGTGCGCAAACGTCAGGGCCAGCGAGGCAATAAGTACGTCATCTTCAACCCAACCGAGAATGTGACATCTGAAAGAAGTCCAGGCGTAAGCATTTTGACAAGGATGGGGAAAATTGCTCGCAAAGCGCCAACGCGTCCAATAAGCGCCGGAGGAAGAAGGAGGCCATCCTTAAAGATATCATCAATCAGCGCATCGAAGATGATGAGGCGAAATTGGATGCCTGTACCGCACGGGAGCAGGAACGCCATTCCGAGCAGATGCGTGTTTTGAACAAATTGGCCGACGGCTTCGATTGTATGAACAATCGCCTGTCCATGATCAGCGAGCAGCAAGAGAATACGAATCTCTATCTCCATGCACAAGAGCTGGAGCGCCGGGAGGAAGCTATCCGACGCCGTGAGCAAGCACTAGGATTGCAACAGTGTACGTGTTTTAGTTCGGCTCCATAATACATTACATCCCACCCTCATCGTCGCTATCTTCCTCGCCAGGAGCCACGTCGATATCTACCCAGGGTGCGTCATCGCACCACGAATCCATCGCAACATCATCGATCCGTTCTCCATGGAAGTAATCGTGCAGCGAAGGCGGGGGCATGCGAAATATTGTGACGTTTGGGATCCGTGAAGTATGGTGTGCGCATTTGTGAGTAGAACAGCGACCATGTAGAATAATCCACAGGGCGACAGAAGAACTTTGTGATTATCTGAAAAATTGAGAAATTTAAATGCGGAGTTCACCTCTTTGAACATCCATTCAACCGGCTCCCGAATCTTGCTCATTCTCGCGTTCCATGTGCGTTCGGCCTCTGTAACATGTGCCCCTTTGAACGGTGCCATGATATGTCCAACGGTTTGGTACGCCGGATCGCCATACACAAAGTACATTTCCCCACTCGGCCCCCAAAAGTGTTCCTCCAAAATATCTGTCAGGCCACTTTCCCGTAGAAGCGTGACATCATGGCGTCGTCCCTCCACATGTCCAAATACGTGGATGATGATTCCGTCGGTGGTAACGACAAGATGATACTTCAAACAGTGTATCCGCTTCCAGCCATTGAATAGGATGCGTTGATTACGGCTCGGACGGGCAACTTTTTTCAGTGTCCCGTCAATTACAGCGGCAATCGAGTCAATGGGGCAGCCTTTATCCGCAAATGCTCTCGCAAAACGGGCCAGTGTCTGCGGAGTGAGTCGTTCTGCATCGAAGCGGAGCAGATGTTTCCAGCGGTCCCAGATCAAAGCCGCGGTGAAGCGAGTGATGCATGACACCCGGCTCACCTCCCAACCAAATTCCATCTCGATGTCTACTAGACGGCATGGATACGCCAAGCGACGTAACAGCATGCAGAGAGCAGTGACTCGGTCTTCGATGATTTGATTCTCGGGATATTCAATATATTCGGGAAGATCAAGTGCTTCAGCCAGCAGATGAACTTCATCGCGCTTAAATCTGTACAATTTGGTACTGCGCGCTATCATGAAAAATCTCAACGTACCGAAAAAAGCTCTGCCAGTCTTTATCCCCCAAAGAGTTGAGATCAACTCTTCCGCCTGGTTGTCCATTCGAAACTGGAACATCTTCCTCCCATTCTTCCAAGATGAGTTTGAGGAGTGCTGTAAAGCGTATTCTGGACTCCAGAATAGCTCTCGCCATGGTGGACAGGTGTAAGAGGGTACACGCGGCATCTGCATGGCAGCCACCGGATCAGCCACAGCCACCGGTTACCGCATGCCTGATCAGCCACCAGGTGGCCTCCGGTGGCTGCCGCAAACTCTCTAGTGAGCTTCCACTACCAAGCCTTATTCCACTAGCTCCAAACCTATACCACCAATTTGTGTCAACGTGGCTGCGACGTGGAAGGCACACCGATTGTGGATCCAGACATCAACTGATTGAGATGGGCACACCACATTGTGTCCAATTTTGAACGGGAATCCCTCCATTGTGGTTCCATTCAACATGATGTACAGACCGCTTTCCACAGCCCATCGTGATGGAGCACTGTGTGTTTGCCAAATATAGAGGACAGTCTTAGGCATTCGTTGTTCCCATTCTCGCTTTAGATAGTAAATTGGGTGGCATAAATCATAGCTCGCAACTGTGAATTGATATGTGGGTGAGTGCAAATTCAAATAGACATGTAAAAAGAAAAATGTATACGAACTATGGCTCGAGCCTGGGTTGAACAGGCAATATCTGCATAATTGGAAGAGTTATTGGATGGAGAACAGATGTGGACATTCCACTACCAAGCCCTATTCCACCTAAACAGTAAGACTGTATATGCCGCCACCATGAGGTTTCTTGACATGGAGTTGAACAAATTGGCACGGCTATATCTTCTTCATAACCCCAAGGAGCTGCTCAAGGATGGACCACTCAAAACACTGACTGTTTGCCTCTGCCATCATCTGGAACTGGTGGTTAATTCAAGACATCGAAAGGTTTTGATGTGTCTCTTGGTTAGCCAGCATCCGCTGGCAGTGGAGAGGATACGGTATAAGCAGTGCTATCATCATGAGGATGTGCCCACGACTGTGTTGCTTCAGGTGTAACAAAGTTGAGATAGTGGAGCACACCCTGTTCTTTTGTGAGGTTTCTCTTGCTGTTGTGGAATGCCGGCACCACTTTATTGGGCGGATGCAGGGCCTCAAGCCATGCATTCTCAGCATCAGGCCTTGGAACACCACAACGATCCTCAAATCTATCATATTCCACAGGGATACTGTCCATCAAGTTGCGAAGTACACTTCTAACATCCTTACAATCTTCGACACTGATCCACTGCATTGGCCAGATGACGTGTAGATACCCAGGTATGTTCAGTGAAATTCCTTGCAAGCTGTTGCATGGTGGATAGCAATCTACAGCCCCATGGAGCGGGGTTAGCTCGTCGCTAGGTGCTGGGTAGAGGCGTAGTTAAAGTACATCTGCGAGGCTGGATGTATTAGTAGCTACACCCGGCACATTCTGAAAGAGACCCCGTTGGTATAATTTATACTGAGTCTTTTCCTAACTCAAGACCTTGTTTGGGTGTGATCCTCTTAGATTAATTAAAATAAAATAAAAACAGAACCAGCAAGATGACGGCTTGGGCCTGAGTTGAACAGACTATATCTGCATAACTGCATTTTTGGCGGCTGTCACATAAAGCACAGATGTGGACCCTCCACTACCAAGCCTTATTTCACTGTATTCTGCACCTAATTGAGTGTGAATTTATTGAGGGCAGCTGTTAGAAAAAAAAGAATCAGAACCAAATGGCTCAGGCCTGAGTCAAACAGGCAGTGTCTGCATAATGGATGTCGTTTGCATTGATGAACAAACAGCAGGTGCGGACCACCGCTATTGAGCCTTATTCCAAGTTGTAGGGTGGTCTTCTGAGGGTAATAAATGAATAAAAAAGATGGCAAGGATGAAGATTCAGAATGACTCAGGCCTGAGTTGAACAGGCAATGTCCACATAATTCTAAGGCGAATCAGAACATGCATGTGAAGCAGATGCAGGCCCTCCACTACTGAGCTGTATCCCAACTAATAACTCAAAACCTAAGTGAATGTGAAATTTGATCAATGCAAAACAGGTGCAAAAAAAATCACAGCTCAGGCCTGAATCGAACAGGCAATGTCTGCATGACGGATGTTCCCACAACAAAGAGCCAAGAGAAGCAGATGTGGACCCTCCTACTGAGCCTTGTTGCGCTCGACTCAAACCTGAGCCTGGAGTGTGACTTCAATGAATCAAATGGACAGGGAAAAAAAGGAGACTGAGGATGAAAAGTGGCTCTGGCCTGAGTTGAACAGGCAGTGTTGCACAACCACTTTGATATGCAAACATAGACAGTAGATGTGGACCCTCCGCTACTGAGCCGTATCCCAACTAACTCAAAAAAACCCAAGTGAGCGCGAAACTTGAACTTACGAGGGATACACAGATCAACAGGGAAAAAAAACAGCGGCAGAAAAGGCACGGCTCAGGCCTGAATCGAACAGGCAATGTTGGCATGACGGACAAGAATTGCCTACAGAAAGCAGATATGGACCCTCCACCGAGCCTTGTTTCACCTAACTCGAACCTGAGGGAGTGTGTATTCAAATGGACAGGGGAAAAAAAGATACTGACGGTCGTGAAATGGCTCGGGCCTGAGTCGAACAGGCAGTGTCCGCATAACGTCTATTCAAAGGCTGTCATGAAGCACAGATGCGGACCCTCCGCTACCGAGCCTTTATTCCGCATAACTTAAGACCTCATGTAGTGTAGTCCTCTGGAGTAATGGCACAAAAAAACAATCAAGGCGCAGGTAAAGGCTCGGGCCTGAGTCAAACAGGCGGTGTCTGCATAATTACGCATTGCCACAAAACTGAGCGCAGATGCGGACCGTCCGCGACCGAGCCTTGTTGTGTCTATTTCTTGGCCTACTTTGGACTGGCTTTGGGAGCGGTGCGCATAAAATGAACAAGGTAACCGTCTGGGGTCTTGAATTCTGATTTTGGATTCAAATACAGAATGGGAGGGACGGGGTTGTGGAGTCGATAGCTGCGGCCCTGCTTCGAATTTGAAATATTCATCCCGTTCGCCTCCCTCGGGCTCGTACAGTATGTCAGTACTAATTACTCCTGCCAACCGTGTGTCGCTGTATCGACCCCGAAATAGTTGTAGCACGGGAATCCATCAGTTCACGTAGGCGGAATTGAGTTCATGTTGGGGTGAATGTTGGGGCGGACCCATGGACGATTGAATGGAATTGGATTGAATCACTGCGTTCCGACCCCCTGTAGATGCACCTGTGTCTACGTTGATTGACATGTGCCGATGTGTGGCGATGTTCGGCTACGTCCGGCGATCTGCATCTACGCTCTAATGTAGACGCACCTTTGCCGAGGTTGATTGATGTCCGGCTACGTTCGTTTACGTGAGGTAGATGCAGCGCATCTAGCCGTCGGCTACGTGTATCTGCCTGTATTACGAGTACTTTACGTAGTAAAGTGATCGTTCTTTTCATAATCGAGACCAGGTTTTTGAGTTCGCGAAACTTTATCAGTGCGTTTTGACGATGTAAAGAAATAGTGGCGATGTTCATTAGCTTTTTGAAGTCCTCCTAAGCCCTCCATCTAATGAGTTTAGTGATAACGTAATCAATGGGGGTAGGGCTGGTTCGAATCTGCCGGTTCGAAAGGGCTTTTTCTTTAAAAAAAATTCTTTCGTATCTTTTGCCAGGCAGTGCCTCAATAAATTGAGCTATTCCTTTGTACCATTTCCTGCCTTAGCCACTTTATTCAGTCTGCACCATTCCCGCTACTGTAAGGTACGGGTTTCTATAGGGCACATGATTTTTGGATTTTGGCCATGCATCACATTTTTGTCAGCAGTTTTTGCATAAGCACCAATCCCTCGGCAAAAATTCTTCGGCATTTATTGTTCCATGGCCTGAGCGGCTGATCGCCATCAGAAACCTCATAATCTTGCTTAACAAGAATCCGTTCATGCTGTCTGCTAGCGTGATCGTGTTTGACATGGCATGTTCTCGATCCTTCCTTGAATCTCTTTGTCCTCCTATCACGGCTGCGACCTATGGCTCTCTCCGTGACCTTCTGCAACATCCCGCCGTTCACCTCGGTTAGCCCTCTCTCTGAGCGCTCCCTAGTCTCTCTCGACTGGATATTAACTTTGGGAATAACGGCTCCTCAATCAATCGCCTCTGGCGTTCTTGAACCTTCCATCCAACAACATTGTGTGCTCCATACACATCAAGCTCTCCGTTGCCCTACTCTCATCCATGATCTCGTTCTGGGCTGGGATTGGCCATTCTCCTGTTGCCAAGCTCTGTCGCACATGTTGTTTGATCTTTCCTCGGGTACTGTCCACCCCGGACGGCCGCCATCGGTGCTCTTTTACAGGCTCTGCATTCTATTCTATGTTTTAAATTTTCTGCAGTTGTTTCATCTGGCTCTGCCCAGACTTCTTCGGTCGTGGATCAAGATGCTCGCTTAGCTAACGATAATGCAGCTAACCTCCCACTCTCACCACGAATTGAGTTTATTTACTGTTTCTCGGCTTGCCCAATTCTTTTCCCGGACTTAGTTGTCACTGTAACGAGCTTCTGGTTTGCCGCTTTCCATCAACGCCTGCATCTGCGCCATCCGCTATACCTGTGATCACAATGAAACCTTTGAATCTTTGGCACAATATATTCCTGGGATATCGTGTTACACGCTCTCGTATCACTCCATTCTCATTGTTCATCATTCTCATTCAATTAACATCGTAGAAGAAAGAGTTGGGCCGTGTACCTCGCCATAGCACTTGCAGGCGGACTGTGCAGTCCGCCTCATCTATTCCTCAACTCGTCGGGACCGCCGAGGGGGCCGATGGCGAGTATAACACAACCTCATCTACACTCGGGACTAACCACTGCATGTGTTCAAGATTCCGATGTGGAGTCAACTGTCGTTCAATCCTCGCGCCCTGTCAGCTCCCCGTCCCACGCCTTCGTCGTATGTAATAATCTCCATCTGTCTTGATTGTGCTGAGTATAAAGCTCTCGACGAGTCCGACATGGAAAATTTTTCTCCCGGGTCATGCACTGAGCCTTCGTTCGATTTCCTGGGGTTCAACTCGGAACCTGATGCCCCAGTCTCCACGCCCGCACCACTCGGTATCTCCAATGAAGATCTCCTCGCTTTCTTTTCTGTGCCCAACTTTGACGCCGATTCATTCCTTCAAAACAACGGGTTTGACTTCGACGCCATGGGCACGATGTCCTCCCCGGATGGGTTTCCTCTCGCCGAGTTTCCCGTAGTATCTAGCCCTCAGGCCGAATGACCGCTACTGCTGCCATTACTCCCTTCCTCTCCCCTCGAGTCACCGGCAGTCATTCTTACTATACCATCGCAACCCCAACCCGCACCACGGAAGCATAGGCGATCGGTGGACCCGGCAGACATCATTAACGAGTCCCGTGCTCGCAAACTGCGAGTGCGTACATCTTAGTTATAATCTTAATAATATCTATCTCTATAATAAATCTTGGATTCTGCAATGAACTTCTAGAAAGATTTTCTGCCTCGCTCTTCTTGACTTAGGAATTGGCTAAAAGTGCCACAGAACCTGCACAAGTGAGGGAAAGTTCTTTAATTGAACTCGGTACTTGCCCGGCATAGTGAAACGCCGGCAGCCGAATACTCGGCTAACACAAATAGTCGTTCGCTTGAGGCGAAATAGGTGTTTAGCGGGCAGAATAGGCGTTCAGGCGATGGAATAGGCGATTAACGCCATCAATAGGCGTCCCCGAACGCCTATGCTACTAAAGTTATCGTGCCTCAGTTTAATTGGAACACTTCCTTCGTGACTGAATTTTATAAATTCAGGAAGCGGGCCTTGCCGCTCGTCGGCCCTACCGCTAAATGTCAACGATCAATCGGCGATCACTGCCGGCGGATGTACCCGAAGTCTTGCGTGCACAACACACGCACAGCCACCCGTCCATATTTTGCTATCACAGAAGACACGCCGCCGCTTCGCTCCGGCAACCGGCACAATAAATGGGAATTAAAACCAATTGGATTGGATACTACCGAATCTTTTAATAAGTTATATTTGCCAAGGTATACATTTTGTCGCCACAGAGAAGGGATGGAGGTTGATATAGACCATTCGCCCCGAGGCAGGAGATCCCAAGACATATTTTTACAGAAGAGATCTAGAGACACAAATTTGAGGATTGCGGGGAGAGGTAAGGGAACCGGAACCACACATTGTTACACAAAGAACAAAGAAGGGTGAATTTCAAATTGTAACTACAGAAAATTCTGCTAATGCACAGCGGGCTGAAAATTAGACGGCGACAGCGAAAAAGGCATTCAAGCATGGGAAAGACCAAAGCATCGTGAGCGTATTACTTTGGCAATGAAAACAGGTCGGAGCAGAGTCCGGATTTGAGCGATCGAGTTGAGCAGCCCAGCGACGCAAGAAATGGGATCGGCCGATGGAAATTGCCCAGATAGTAAATTGTAATGGGACTTCGACAGAATTTGACATTTTGAGGGAGTAGGTTTGGGTTTTGAGATATACCGTCGATCGAGCCAATCCATGAATGGGTGAATCTAAGGTTGAAGGAGCGACATCATGAATTGACAGCAGAGATTCAACAGTCAAGCCAGAAGCTTTCGAATGAGATCAGCG